AGAGGGGCAACTGGCAGATGAAGCATATGCTTCAAGGACACGGATTTCGGACAACTGGTGGTGTTTGTGGGTGTTTGACCCAATGCCTACCAAGGAAAAGCCTGTGCTGTAAAGAGTGGGATCTCATACAGCCAGGTAACGAAAAATGTGTCACCTGTACCGAGGAATTGCCTGCTCTTATCCAAAAGGCAGTCCTGGACACTTTCTTCTTCATTCCTAAAATAAACTGGAAGAGACGTCCAAAACTGGAGAGACTACATGGGCAGCTATCCATAGAGTGAGTTGAATATCTGATGGATTACATGACATATACCTTTTCCTTTCCATTTTATTAGTATAAATTTTTTTTGCTGTAAATACATTAGCCACTTCTCTAGTGAACTCACCAAACATCTGCTCTCTCTGCCCCCACCCCCATTCCCTATAGCCATTCCACACTGGTGGCCTACTGTGTTGTATTAGAATGGGCACTAAAAGGAGCGCGCCTTGGGCGTAGCAGTAGAAGACCATTACCTAGCTGTGTGTATCAGTGATCAGAAATTTATCCCTCCCCCACTGGTACTTAACATTGGATTTCAGGAGGCAGAGGAGATATTCTAAATGTTTGGTCTGAATTGTACATTGTGCATGTTCAAAAAGATTGCATCATGTCATTCATTATAATAAAGATAGTAAATCAAAATCTTGTTATCTTGTGCTCCTGTGTTTTTACTCGAACTATAAGAACACAGTATTACAGTTACAAACAAAACTTTATTTTACAACAATAAATTACAGAACAGTGTAAGCTTTATATAAAAAATGTCAACATGGTCAGATAATAGTGGTGTTGTCAAGCTCAAAAGCGATGTCACTGGTCTCACTAACTCCGTAGCTATCCAGCCATCTAAACGTCATCAATAAAGCCACAGGAGACACTGTGCCGTTTGTGGAGTTTATCAATAAAGTTTGTGAAACTGAAACAGATACAACAATACATATCAATAACAGCGTTACAGTACAGTCAATGAAAGCTACCGTATATAGCTAAGTAGCTAAATAGCTAAATCAGTTGAGTGATAGCTGTGTATAGTACAGCACCAGCATAAACAGCCATAAACTAGCTTCAGAAATGTCTACATGACAAATATAACAACAGACATGCGGTGTTAATGTATACAAACATCATTACTTACAGACATTGCGTTTAGCAAGACTTATGAAGGAGGATGCGAGAGACGTTACCGCAGCACCTATATCTGAACTGAATCCCTTGTGCATGCTGAAAACAACTTCCGGGGTCACCCAGCACAACTACTTCCTGTATCACTAAAGCAGCTACTTCCTACTTCAGAATACAACACTTAGACATTGAAATGGCCAGTAGGAGGCAGTAAACCCATACATAAATCACTCTGAACATAAGAAAGCACAGTCCATAACAAGCGAAGTTTTGGTATGAGCGACCAGATCACCCTTGTCCGGCCTTGGAATTGGAGCAATGTTCTGGAGCAATTTCCTTGGTCCTGGTTTACGAGGGGGAAAGTGTAGGAGAAGATGACAGTGCTGTCCTCTCTCCTTCTCAGCACACGCTCAACAAGATCATGACGAAAGGCCTGTGTGGTGTTGTCAAACATGGGTTTTGCAACCCATTGCTGACTCTGTCTTGATGTACAGCTTTGTACCGTGGTTGTCCTAAAATACATGAAATTACATATTAAATACAGCATCTCCATGGAAAACCTGAAGAGACTAGGTAGTATACAATGAATGTGACGTCATGTAAAACATTGATGTAAAGGAGCATATATTATATGATACCTTCTTTTGTCTTCGCCTGTGGTCTCCCAACATTGCTATTATGGTCACTATTGCGAGTGGGGTACGAGCCCTCATGCTGTCGTAACTGAAGTGAAGTCGCTTCTCAGCATACTTCAGCATGACCTGATGGTACACCTCCAAAGATCCTGTATAAATGTAATGTCACACCTCAATGACCCAGTGTAACTGGTGTTATTGCGTGTAGGCAGTAATGAGACAAAACTGCTTCTCTCAAAAAATTTATAGATGTTGCAACAATAATCATCATGACTGGAAAAAATTTGAATCAATGTAAATAGATACCAGTATGCTTGAAGAGTGACATCTGCCTCAAGTCTCTAAGGAGATTTTTGTCCAACACCACTCCCTTCAATGCCACAATAGCTGATGAATCTGGTCTCAGCCACCTTTTGCGCCTCTGGTCATCCTCTGTCAGGGTTGTGTGATGGCAGGTGTACTGAGCACCATCCACCTCCCACTGTGAATGCCACACATGTGGTGCAGAAGCGACTTCCATGTTCGAACACATTCCTAAAAAAAATTAGATTGAAGTGATAGTTGGTGAAATACTTTCCTGGTGCAAATATTACACTATGTGCCAGGTAAATACTATTAAAAATATTTACTACTACTATTCACTACACCGACAGGAACATGTTTTGTTATTGCTGATATAACAGTAAATATTCTATACCAAAAATACTGTATCTATGTTATGTACTACTTAATATTCTTACCTCTTTGTCACCTTTGCTTGTGCTGCATGACCAGTACAGATGGATAGTCATTGACTTTATCCATGGCTGCAAGTCTTTGTTGTTCTTCTTATTGGATACAAGTACAGTTTTCTTCACACCTGTACAAAACAGCCAAAAATTATGTCTAAAAAGTTAGTGATAAATGAAAGAGAACACACTTATCTTGTGCAACAATTAAGTGTCTTTTCCACTAAATTTACTTGCTTTTCCTCACATGCCAGGGATTAAATTCATGTTGGATGCTAGTGTAGTTGTCCTTCATGAGTTTGCGGATGGATGGCAATCTGTCAGTGGTCACAACACCAACAACCACTCCCCTGTCAAGCAAATATCCAGACCCCTCTGAAATCCCAACACCTCCATAGCAACCGAGCTGGTTGTTTCTGTAACCTAGAGAATAATATTGACCGATCAGACAAAGCATGTCTACATTTTTTTGAAAACACTTAATAATAATAACCACATAATTTGGTGTTACAAACATAGATAATTTACCTGAACCAATTCAAAATGAATGATCTCTTTTGTGGCATCATCTTGAAATGAAAATGTACAGTATTTGCTACTG